AAAAAAAAAAAGAAATAAAAAACCAAACCTAAAACATATAAAAGTTAAAAAATTTATTTTCTTCACATACGGAAACCATTAAAAAAACCAAAACCCTCATGCTTTGTGAGTACATAAGAGAACAGACATTTCTCATCTTCAGAATAATCTAAGTACAGATCCCAGATATTAAACCACAAATAATAGCAAGTGTTTAAACATTATAAGGTAGTAAGCAAATAAAATGGAAGATAACAAAATAAAGCTTTATACATCAGAATATAACTGGTCATTTCCTTAGGCTTAACGTTTACCAGATGAACCACTTTTTACTTTGTACTAGTTGTTGGTTTGGATTTCCACTTGGTTCCTGCCTTGGTTGTTGATCTTGTTGTTGCTCCAGTTGTTGATCCTGTTGGTCTAGTTGTTGGGTTGATTCTTGACTGTGTATTTCCTCTTGTTGTTCAATAACTTTTGGTTTACAGGAACTGCTAATCATGTTTATGTGCACATCAAAACATTCTTCCCAGTTGTCTCCATTAATTTTATCTCTGATTCTTGTCTTCAGATCATCATTTGCAGCTTTTCTTAGTGTAGTTTTTAGGACCTTTTTGTTCTCTTTAAGAATCAGCTTGTCATAGATCGGTCTTTTGGGACATTTTCTGCATTTTCTCCATGGACATGCTGATATAAGAGTTGCCACCACAAAGATACCAAGAAGCACACCAAAGCCAATGCTCTGAAAAGAAAAAATAGTTTTTCAGTGATACTGTTAGGATGTTTATATAGGAAGGCTATGACATGCTGGTACACACTGACTTAAATAAATGACTTACCCTGGATGTATTTTTCATCTCCGCTATTTCCATTTTTTCTTCAGCTAAGAGGTTTTTAGCATCTTTGCAGGCTAACAGGGGTTGAGTGCTGTTATTAGTGCAGCAAACATACCAGTCTCCATCAATCAACACAGAGACCACCCACAGCGAACCAACAAAACCTGCTTTAAAAATGTGATAAAAAATGAGTCCCCATAATGCCCCCTTGCAACATGGAAAACAGATTCTGAAGGCTTCCAGAAAAGTCTTATCAATCCATATCATCAAGAAAAAAATGATGAAAAACGGTAACACCATGTACAAATCACAGTGTACAGTATAACCTTTGCAGGAGCACAGCACATCCCTCTCAAGCAGAACATTGTAGGTAAAACTCACTACGATGACGGCAAAGATGCTTAATTTCTGAAAGGGAAAATTTGTCATCCAGTCCTTCATCTTGAGTGAATAGATTGAGTCTGTCTGGAACTGAAGCCTGCGCTGCAACAAGTTCTGACAAGGCATTCAGTACTTCCTGTTTTTGGAAAACAAAGTGGGGCTGCGCTCAGCCTAGGATGAAGCATTTGGTTTATTGTTATTCATTATTATTTAGAATTTATGAACCAATATATATCAGCTCAAGTTTAACTAGCACCATAAAAATCACACGTTTAAACATTTAATTCAACTCTCATATCAGCAATCTGACTTTTTTCTGTAATCTTTTGCTAACAGAAAAAATAAATTTTCAGCATTTCCATCAGATAATAAGCAGAATTTTTTTTTATTTTGAACAGATTTTAATCTACAGCAGGCAAACTTTCATCTTCTCTCTTATGGTTTTAAATGACAGAGGTGTTTAGGCATGTTGAACAACTTCTGCCTCTTTCAGGGATTAAGGTGGAGATGTATTTTATAATGTTTCTCTTCAACTGAACTGCAGGATTCCTGAAGGGTGGGGCTCAACAGTCCACATCTGCAGACCTGCTTTTTTATTAAAGCGCATCAATGGAAATAGTTGGCAGCTGGTATCCTAATGTCTGGCTTTCATCCAGTCTTGTTGTGTTTGATCTCATTATGATTCGGTGGCTGCATGATAAATGACATTTAACCGTCTTTTATTGTTTCATTTATGCCGTATAACTACTTTAACGTCTTCCGGTCTAAATATAATCAACTGAAAGAAGAAGAAACGTGTTTGAAACGCCAAGATTTAAATGAGGTCAATTTTTAGGGAGCATAAGGTGGTTTTAAACATGCATTGCCTTTTATTTAGTCTTTTCACAGCTGATCACTACGCTTATTAATGTCAAGGTCACTTTAGTTGTGAAATCCATCAAGCCTTGTTTTGCCAAAACTCAGTTCTGAGACTAGATTGTCAACAAATGAGTCCTGTTCCGTTTTATTTTGTTTGTTTAGTGAGATCCCGGGTTTTTCAGGAAACATTCAGAGATTCAGACAGTTTTTCTTTTTGCTTTTCTAACTTTTCAGCTCTGCTTCATCTTTTCCTTTGTGGTTTGGTTTTCTGCTGTTTGCTCAAGCAGTATATTTTAAGTGATGAGATGAAATTGCTTATTTTCACATTACTTTTAGAGTGT